CCGGCGTTCCTGGGCATAAATCACCAGCGTCAAGGATTACGAGGCAATCTCCACGCTGGAAACTCGTTGAGTAAGGGAGCTTTAAGGGTGTTAGGCGTGATCTTGCGACGGACTCCAGGATTTATTGCAGAAGGCCGGGGTGTTGAAGGGAGAAACTTGCAAGGTCTGCCGCCGGCTTTCTCCTCTCTCCACCCCCCCCACACACACACACATTGCCCCGTTTTCCGCGGAGACAATCCCCGGGCCTTTCCTAATTGGAGTTATAGCCGGCGCCCAGTTCATTAACCTGTTCCAATCGATGCTTTCGGAAAGCGAAGACGAGTTAACTGAGTATTAGATTTTACGAGGGGGAGGCGTCATTAAATCCGCACACGTCTAGGATGCACCGGGGGGGGGAGGTTGCGCGCTCATACCCCGGACGGGTGAGAATTCCTCGCGCGGCTCTGATGCGAGGTGGCTCGGAGGCAGTGTGGCGGAGGGATGGGTGTAAAGTGGCGCCGATTAGATCCCGCGGACCCGGGAAAGGGCCCAGACTCTCGACCCCCAAGCTCTCCGGGATCTCTCCCCCCACCCTACCCCAGCCCAGCCCCCATCCCTTCTCCCAGAGCCTTTCGCAAGAAGCTGCGAACGCGGCTCTTTAGAGGGATTCGGACTGCATCGCTGAATTGTTCCCGAAGTAGTTTCTGGCTGACACAAAACAGATGCTGTTCGGAAAAGAGCGAGGGAGGCCGAAGCGCGTGGGCTTCTTCTTTGGCTTGCGAGACCGCGGGGGAAACTGAGGTGGCTCTTCTCTTTTTTCATCCAGTCAAGAGTGGAGGATAACTGGACCATTATATCATCCGGCTAGAGATATAACTAAAAATAAAGGCGGAAATAAAAATCTCCGTGGGGTGGGAAAGCGTTGCAAATTCCTGCTTGATGAGTGGAATCTGACTCGGCCAAGGGGGGGGGCAGAAGCAAAGTCTCACCCCCCCTCCGCCCGATCCCTTCTCCCCCTCCCCGGGGGTGGGAGTGGGATGCTGAATCCCCCCCCCCGCGGCGGAGCTGTTGACATAAACAGCTAGGAATGGTCTTTTCTTTCGAACGGCCGAGGCAGTGGGAGTCTGCATTTCATGTTGTCACTT